GTCGTGCGGCTAAAATGGGCTTTCTGAGACGAGTCACTGGCCTTAGACATGATATGCAATACAGACATTCGCGAGAACCTTGGTGTACGTCCTCTGCTTCTCAAGATTGAGAAGTCACATATGCGATGGTTTGGGCACGTGTTGCGAATGCCTCCAGAAAGGAAGGCTAAGCAACTGTTCCTTGCAAATCGGACCGGCAGAAGGCCCAGGGGACGGTCAAGATTAAACTGGTGCATATATATGGAAGGAGTCTGTTCTATACTCCATTTATCTTCAGCTGAAGCTCAGATTCGGGCACAAGATCGGGAACATTGGAAGCAACGTCAGATTCTCTGCTTCCGCGACCTGAAAAGATAATAGGTCATCGAAACTGACAGCTTGACTGACTGACTGTCAAAAAATCTAAAGAAAGTGGTATTTTTCGTGCTTCTTCGACGATCAGTAGGTGGGAAATCTTTCGATAGCGCTGTTCTTACTGTGCCTTTGCGTCATTATTCCTGTGGACAATGGACCGATGTCATTTCTTTCTTATTTACACGGGAAGATTTCGAGTGAAAACGAAGTTCTTTCGGAGGTGAGCTACCGCAGATATGCAAGGTAATGCTGTTTGTATATATTTTATTTCAAGGTGTGATTTCGATCGAGTTTAAGTTTGGCTTTTGAAATTTATAGGTTTGATGCTTTTTGTCAAACATCATAGATGGGATTTGGTTTCTTGATAGAATCTCGCTTTTAAAGCCACTATAAGCGTGTTAGCGCCAGCTTACTGAGTATTTCGATTTATTTCTTGCTGATCGTTTCCCTTTCGCGTATCGATAGTCTAGGATCGTTCAGCGTTGTTGTAGTGCCGTGCCGCTATGCAGGTGGTGTCATTACAAAAACCCGTGTGCGCAAGCAGCTGCACTGCACCTCTGATATGGTTGTTGGCAGAAGATCTGTTATTCCTATTTAGAAAGTAGATGTGCTGCTTCGCCGGCCGACGCCATTGATCGACAAGCAATGCTGCGTGAACGTGGCGAAATTCGAATGACCGATTTATGAAACGTGGAGTTGACTGTTTTTTCTAAGCTGCGCTTTAAACCTCTCTCGCAGACTTACATTCGCGTTCATCTCTAGACCGTACCATCGCTCGTTTAGTCTGATTATTTTGTAATACTTGTTAGTGAAGGTTGTTTTATTATTTACTGTTTTGCCTTAAAAATGCGGTAAAGGGTAGATACTAGCTAATGTGCATCTTTTAAGTAAGTTTTCTTTTGATGACCATGTAACGTTGTTATCACGGTTGTAGAAAACCCAACACAGTGGATACTTATATACAGACGGTATCCAAGTCCTTCGCTGACAGAGGCGTGCAGTGCGACCTTCAGCTGGCAATCTCCAGTGAAGAGAATTTAGCTTCCAAAGCTGACGTCTTCACAGACAGTGACAATTTTTCTCAGTTTTACGACACGGCTTGCCAGACCACGTCATGCATGCCTTACGTGCTGCCGGACGCACCAGATGACACAGCAGGGAGCGCAGGCGATTTTGCGCGCTCGGCCGACTTCTTGCCATCCGTGGAGTCCGCCTGTGAGGTGACGTCGTTCTATGACGAAACGCACGGCCGCAGTCTCGACGCGGAATATGTGGACAAGCTGTTTACGGATATCGAAACACAGACGGAAGGCAAGTCCTCTCTTCTCGATCTCGAAGCGTTTCTATGTAACATGGAAACGCAAACCAGTGACGCAATTTTTTTGACTCCGAATGACAACGAAACGCAGACTTCGTGGCTAGACTTCTCACCTTTACTCTACCAAAGCGCACATACGCAGACCCAGTAGCTTTTGGCTGGATGAACCTTTTGTTTTTGTGCGAACTTTGTGTGTTTCGATTAAGTCACTTTACCGCGAGACCGTATATTTGTATTTAAATACGGCATTTTTGGCTAACTGCAAATAATCAATTGCTCTGAGGTCATCAGATCTCAAAATTACATGACATTGCAGATGTTGCGCTGTTATTTTATGCATGTATGCAAACAATACTTTCTGGAGTAAAGTCTTTTGTGTACTTTGGTTATTTTATTAACTGTATTTGACGAACTTTTAGATGATCAGTGATATGAATCGTTTGTTCGTATTTTCAATGGTATTTGCGTTTCTCTCCAACGTAGCCCCAGAAGCTTTGTTTCCTTCGCCGCCTTCCTCGAAAGACGTGAGAGATTACTCAGAGAAAGACTTGCAAGGTTTATATGATCAATGGACTGTAAGTGTGCATATTTCTTTGTCTTGTTTGACTGCCATCATGTGACTTACACCTCTGCAGACGTTTTGTCGTAGTAGATAAGTTTACTTTACATGCATTTACGCGATGCAGTAGAAATTTGGGTTTGTGGTGTTGCTGCTTTTAACGGGCCGCAAAGGAATCTTGCTTGTCAGCGTAATTTTCACCAGTGACATGCAGGTCGGCGCGGACAGTTTTAAATGGCAGCATGTGATGGGCCAACTCTTTCCGGGACGCTGAATAA